CTGAGGTCCACTCGTGCCGTGGCAGTGCCGCCCCCCCCCCAGTCAGAGTACATTTCTCTCATTAAGCTACGTGTGTTGAAGCTACAGTGACTCTGATCAGTAGAGGGAACCCTGCGGAGTTTCTGTTTTTCCACTCGGCGTCCCGCTGCTGGCAGCCGTTCCAGTTTGGTGGCTTTCTTTGGCAAAATTTGTGGCGTACGAAAAACATGTAGCGACGACGAGTTCTTCGGTCGGAAAAATGTAGTGATTTAACTTCGTGGTGTGTGTGTGCTCACGCTGATGAATGTTAAGTCGCATTGCAGTATTGCAGGGCTTCACGTCGTACGCGTCACCGTGGCTCGCTCTGTTCTCGATGGTATTTGAGTCGAACTCCACATTTTCCTCTCAGCTCCCGGTTCAATGATGGTTCTATTAATGAAAATAACAAGTTTAATGTTTAAGTACTCATAAAAAAGGTGTTGTGCTGTGTGTAGTACTAACAAATGGCTGAATCTATTCAGAAGTTTATTTTTGTCATTTCATTCCATGATTGCCTGCCGCTGTTTCAGGTGGTCTGACACTGAAGGCTGGTTTATTTACTCTAAAGCTTCTCTGTAGTTTCTTTATAGGACTTTTACATGTGCTGTTATTTAGCTCAGCGACACATTTGCACCCAGAACAGCTTCACTGAGGTCAGATTGAAGGGATTTACACTGAGCTCTAATGCAAAACACTGAAGGTTGTCATGTGGACTCAGGTACTCAGTGGGTTGAATGTAATGAAAGGACACACAGAGGATGATAGAACGTCGGCAGTGTTGTGGACGAGCTCAAACTCACGACTCATTCTTACAGAAACATTCCAACGATTGGATTTTCTTTCTTATTCTCGCCTTCCCTGCATTATATTTATATAAACTCACTGTTTTTAAAGATTAAAGATCAGTTCTGCCTCCCCCAGACGCATTCACTTCCTCCTGTTTCACTGTGTGACGTGTGTGGATTATTGTATCCACAGTCCTGAATGGTCTGGATCTCGTGCAGCTCAGACGTTTCAGTCACTCAGAGGTTCATGAGATTTGTTGCAGGATGAATGCTAGTAGGCGTCCTGATCAGATATTAGAGCTGGAATGACGAATCGATAAAGCTGGGCACACGCTGTACGATTTGAGCCAGTTTCTGATCCGATTTTTGAGTCGCACGACTCATCTCAGTCTAGTTCGAGTCATTTGCTATGAAAGGGGGGGGTGGCGAGGACTGATCAGCCGCTCAACAACAAACATCTGATGTTCGGATGTGAAAGTCTGAAATTTTGGTGGGATGATGTCCCCAAAGTTCCCCCAAAGTCTGTGCCTTTATTCCCCTCGCTGCGCAAAGTGGCTGAAACAGAGCGTCTGAATGTGACACAGTGGACGTAAAACACGGAGGCTGGTTGAGCTGTGGCAGCAGCACACCTCCCTCCTGTCACGACTGATGTGAACAGGAAGTTTCAACAACGGGCACACAGGATGGCACAGGTGATCAAGGCTGCACTCTCTACCTGCCCTCAGTTTATTGACGGCTGTGAACGGTCCACTCACGTCAGTGTGAGCATGTAAACCACAGTCTAGTTGTCTAAAATCGTACAGCGTGTGCCCGGCTATAGTTGAACAGAAAATAAATCCATATTTATTTTTAGAATGGATTTACCGTTTAAATCGGGTCAAAGTAACATTTTGTAGTGGATTTGCTGTTTTATTTTTGTCTCATTTGATAGCAGATCAATCATTTTGGGGGTTTTGGATGATCGGACAATACCGGCTATTTGAAGACATCAGCTTGAATTGTTACAGGCGTTTATTTATATACACATACACAAGTTTGGGACATTATATATTCCAAAAGATGAATTAAGAAAATTAACTGAAAATAATCTTAAAGACCTATAAGATATAAATGAGATTGTTTCTATCATATTACTGAAATATCTCAACAATTATTACGTGGATTAACTTGAATTTTGGTGCAGATGTTTTGACTCTTCAGCTCCAGCTGTACTTTGTGTTGAGGGCTATTTAGCAAATGTTAGCATGTGAAATGTAAAAAAGCTCAGCGTTGGCATTGTGAGCATGTTAGCATGTGGGCGTTAGCATGTAGCTCAAAGCGCCGCAGAGCGGCTAACATGGCTACAGACTCTTGTAAAGTCATATTAATGAACCGAGTGGCTCAAATGTCAGAGTTTGGGATCAATATGAGGCCCGGGGACGTTCACATCCTTCCTACCAACAAAACCTCCAAATTCACACACAAACAATCGTCTGAAGTTGTGGATTTCACTCAGGTTTTTTTCTTATTTCTCTCCAGTGGACCAATAATGAGCAGCTGTCACTCCCGTTCTTTGATGCTATATCACTCCACCAGTGGCCACATGAGGGTCCTGCATATTAACCCAACCACAGGATCATTTAGAGCTAAAGATGAAAAGACAGCTGACTCATCAAAGCCGGGAGTCTTGACTCGAGTCCAGGACTACAGGAGCGCAGAATACAAATCCGCTGTGAGATGGCTGTTCCATATTAATGCACACATTTAGGAACACTGCCAGAAACAAGACAGGGCTGAGTGTCTCATTCCCACTGTCACATCCAGAGAGGAAAACACGTCTGAAGAGTGCAATTTCTCCTTTTTTTTTTTGTTAATTTCCAGAATAGATCCTCAATCGTCACTTTTGATTTCCGCGGTGAAACACGTAAATGTGCCTTCTGTCCATCCCACCCTGCAGACGAAACCAAACCGCTCCTCCATGTTTCAGTGAAATGGAAATGTGCACAGTGTCTGACTCAGATATTCACTTCCAGTAACTGTATGTCAAGAGTTTGGAGTTGGTTCTCCACATGGGGGCCATTAGATATGCAGACAGCGTCACGGGAGGTAGTTAAAGCTTGTTTTTAAGGCAAAAGTCAGTATTTGAACACATTAACTGGTTATGAAACAGTCTGAATTTATTACTGATTCCTCTCTATGACCTACGTAAACAAATAAGACCTTCAGTGAGGAGATTGGTGGATGCAGCGTACAGGCGAACAGCCAAAGTAAAGAAAAATTACCTTGCAAATTTGAGGTACTGTTTACACATTTTACTTTACTGTATAATATTTCATAATGGGTTTTTTTAATTTAGTGAATGCAGTGTGTATTGGTACTGAAGTATTCCTGTGTTGCAGAGCTCTGACATGCTATCACGTTAGCCTCTTTTAACAGAACTATCGGTATCTGTGATCCTGGCCTTACTTTTTACTTCAGACTGAAACCAGATTTTGTGATAAAACCTTCACAGAGTTCATATTGGTATACAGAGTGCTGCAGGGATGATGTAAGGTAGCATTGTCCTGGTTCCTCTTTTATTCTATACTCTAAATACTTCACTAATGAACTCCATTTTTATGATTTTTGAAGAGTAAATGCGGTCGCCAAAAGTAAAAAGCTAACGTTGGGCTATAAACAAACTGCGCCACCAATAAACAATAAACAAAAAGCAAGATGAGCAGATGAGTCTCTGCATTTTAACCACCGACAATCTCTGTATGTCTCATTTATCTACTTGTAAGGAACTGCCTTTAAGAAACGTAAAAGCTTCTAAATTTACAGTTGGGAAATTGACTTACTTTCCTACTTATTTTGGCTTATTTTATGTCGTAGAACAAAATGTGAAAATCTCCTAAGCCTGTGTTAACCACAGACCATATTTTAGTCATCTAACCAAAAACCCATTTAAACAACCCATTGACTTTGTGGTGATGGAACCCAAGTGCTAAAATGCTAGCTTAGTTCTGGGTTTTAGGACTCGTTCCTGCAGCACTATATTACACATTGTGTACCACAGTCCCATCATCCAGGCTGACATTGGAGAACACAGACATTCAGTGAAAAGCCTCCAAAGTTATCCAAAATCTCACCAAACCAGGTTGTTTATATAGAGATGGCAAGGTGCAAATCATTATGGGACAGTTTTGGTGTCCCATGCTCTCTCGCAATTTTCACATACACATTTTCCTACCTCCAACACTTACTGCAAGCAATAACATTCCTCTGTCCTTCCAGCATATGCCAGACTATAGATAGAGATACAGTAGAACCAAGAACCAAGATGTAATCCTGTTTGAATTTAATATGAGGTAATTTTCCCACCAACATTCTTCTACTGGTTGAGTATGGATAGCCATGCCATTTAATCAGTTGGGGCCAGGCTGACCTTCTCCTGGAGTGAAGAAAGGGAGGTGAAATAATTTGCAAAAAGAAGATGTTTGTTCTGACTGGTGTTAAATTTGGTAAATAAAAAAAATCATTTAGATGCAGATTCCGTTTTCTTAGTCATTATGTCAAAGTACATCATGTTTTAGAAGAAGCATAAAACAAACAATCAAACCATCTCCTTTCAGTCAGTTGTAGACAGCTGTCTGACCATTAAGGTGTGACATGTGAAGTGGAGCCTGATGTCCTCTGTAGTCATTCCTTTAGAATTTGATTGGTGCTTCTTTATGAATTTCCATCTTGGAGTATGGCACAAAAGACTGCAACTTCCAGTCCTGTGTAAATATCTAAATTTCTGACAGCCACAGTGGACCTACACTAGGGGCCTGTCTGGTTTTCTGATATCATGAAGTTGGTTCACGTTAGGCTGAGGTAGACCACCATGGTAACCAGGCAATTCATTGTTGGAGGGGTTTAGACTGGATATTTAATATCCTTAGATTTCTGTTATTAGAAAAATAGCTCTTTTTTTCTTGTATTTACAGGAAGATATTCTGGATAGACACTGAACATTATATAAAAAGGAAAACCGAGCAAAGGATTTTATTTTTCTTTGTACAATTGGTTTTAAAGAACCATTGTGTAAGATATAGTGGCATCTAGCAGTGAGGTTGCAGATTGCAACTAACTCAACACCAGTTGCGTTTGTATTTGACAACCTGGGAATGAGAAGTGTGTAGGAGAAACTACGGTGGCCGTGAAAATCGCAAAAGAAATTACTAGAAAACTATGTTTTTCTAAAACTATGTTAAAAAAGAAGGCAATGAAAACTTATTTTTTGTTAAAAATTGTATATGCACATAGTTTAATCAATTAGTTAGTTTAATATGTATGTGTATATACACATATAATGAGTTAATAGAATCAGATCAAACATTCTATTTAGTGTCAGTGATGTGATTGAAGCACAACAGTTCAGTCAGATTATTAGGCATTCCTTTTTCTTCTCTTTTTCAAACCTTTATTCACACAGATCTCTGCTTTGCCAGCAGAAACAGTCTAACTAGTTAATAGTTTGATAACAGAAGAATACTACTCATTTTTGAGACTGAAATAGATTTTAGAGGGAAACATTCCCTGATTACTGCGATGGTAATTTGTTTAGCTGGAATGAAAATAGACCTTTTCTATGTGGATTGCGTCCAAATATGACTCAGCAAAGGTACTCAGGCTGCTTTCTTAAACAAATAACCTTAAATTCCCCCTCCAGGCAGAAATCAGTGTTTCTTCTTGTTCCCACAGTGTGATGTTTGATGGCTGTCTGTGCAGAGTTTGACACCAGAAGGATGTTTTCACATTTAACTGCTGAAAGTGGAAAGTTTTTCTGTGCTCATTGCAAATCAGATTTTAGGGGTGGGGCCTACCAGCATGATTTGTGACATCACAAATAGTTTGGAAGTCAGTCCTGGTCCAGTATGCAACTTGTACAGTGTGATGTAGAAACTTGAAGCCACCAGTGCACATCCACTGAGAATGGACTACAGCCTGAACGTAGCGAGACATCTTGTGTCCAGCAGCAAAACAGTCTTATACATGTCTGGAAGGGATCTTTAAACATCACTGTATCTAGAAGGAGTGACAATGCTGCTTCCAGGTCCGTTTATTCTAAGGCAGAAACCATGATATATGACTACAACTTTTGTCTCTGATGAGACGCCATAAAGAGGACATGAAACTATCTGAATGTTACATTTTCATTCTCCACCCTTTTCACTTCCTAAATTGCTTACATCAGCTTTTTCCTCTTGTCTCTCTTTGTGGATGACAAATTTCATAATAAAACAGGGTTTGAGTTGCAGTAAGAGTTAGCTTGTCCTCTTGTCGGTAGTAGGGGAGAGAAATGTGTCAGAGCCCCTGAGAGCACACATCTCAGCCCTTAGCTTTCCCCCGAAGAACAATGACTCTCAGGTCTTCTATCTTGATCCTGAAGTAACAAAGTTTCAATACTTCTGTCTTGTTGCCTGAGCCTTTCTTTGATGAGTCTGCCTCTGCCTTAGCTCGTCCAAATCCTTTGTCTGATTTATTCAGACTGTTAGCATTGCCACACATAAAGTATCACCCATAATTACTGTCATCACATCAGCAGATTTTTAAAGTAATTATTCACACTACAAATTGAGCTGGAATGTTTTTGTTGGAAATCCCAGAAGCTGAATATATTCATCATGTCACGTTGTTGCCATATGGCATGCTTTTCTGAAACATAAACACTGATTTTAAATGTGGGGATGTTTTGCAGCATGCCATTTATATCCAGCAAATCAGAAACAGTCTCCTGGACAACTCTTACATTACATCACACACTGACCACAAGTTCCCGACAATCACTGTTGCCATCTATGAAAAAAGACACTAAACACACCGTGCTTATCACAGGCTTTTTCTGGCATTTAGCACAAACAAATAAGCTATTAAATTAAAGACTGGTTTGCTTCATGCATCTAGTCCTAATACGCTGTAAGACAGACAAGTAAAGCTCATTACTAGTAAATTGTGAATGCAGGCAGGACAGGATACTGTG